CCATTTCTTGAAATTGGAGTTTTAGGAGTTAGGAGAGTATAATGCCAAAAGGGTAGATTTATTAGAAGACCTGGATTAAATCCTGGCTCCAGCAATTATTAGAAAGATGACTTTGGAAGACAACAATGACTGCTCCACAGGACTGTTGTGAAAACTCCCATGGTGGCCAGCACAGAGGTGGCACTGACTGGACAGAAATTCTTTATAGACGATGGAGTTTATGAACGAATCCAGCTCCTGATCTAGGTTTTAACATATATGTTTTTCCTACAGTGCACGTACTGATACTTCAAATTGTACAGTAATTTGACAGCCTTCTGAACTTTATGTTTTCTAAGTATTCATTAGCTGACATAATTTCAGGGGACTTGAATGCCAGGATTGGCAGCGGTTCCACCAGAGCTACATCCATCAGAAACCTGCCATCGTCAGATTCTTCCTTTTAAGGCACTTCTCCAGGAATAACTGTCTGAATCAAAGAGGAAAATATCTGGTCAAAGTAATTTATAATCAGAGTCCAATAATGGGAAATGGCAGGCTGTGGACTTCCACTTACATTTCCAACCAGGGGCAGCATTATTGATGACTGCAGAGTTAGCTCTTCAGAGTATCTGAAACCTTGAGTTGGATATTTTAGACCGGTTGAAAGTAAATATTTTCGTTAAACTTAATTTGAACTTCCAAAACGGTCCTTGCATCTGTTCCTACACATAACTCAATCAGCGAGATTTTGGGGATAAGGTTAGACCGAAGTGAACAAATACATTTATGATAACAAAGGATTTATGGCACATCTTTTATTCTGGAAGTCTTCATGAATAATTATTTATAAAATTAACAGATTGTGATTGTACGACTATGTTGCTGGACGATGCAAGAGCAAGTACTTTCATCTCTTCATAAAAGAGATCAGAAATTCCAGGCCATGTTATCAAGATATTATCTTAAATGTAACTGAGATCAAGTCATCCAGAGACTCATTAAGTTGCAGTTCTTTTAAAAACGGCTTCTCTTTTCCAAAAATTAAATTACATAAAATATGCAGGAATATTTTGGGCTCGACTGCAGGGACACCAACAATGTGATTTGGGGACTTAATCTTCTTTGGTAGCACTTCAGGGTGAGGACACTCAAATCTCTTGCATGGATTGATTACTACACAAATCATTTCAGTTTCCACTCTGCCTCTATTTTGTTGTATGCAAGATTCTTGATAGCCAGAATCCATTATTTTTCATCAACTCTAAAACAATCTAGTCTTTTGAGGCTGAAAAGAACTCCAGAAGAAAACTCTCCTGCCAGAATTATTTTAATCTTGCTTGAGTAGCTGACTGAAGTCCTTGCCAACCTATTTACTTTAATCAACCTCACAGGTATGATTCCCTCAACATGAACACTGAGTGTAGTTGACTCTAGATTCAAAAAGGGAAACCTTCCATCTCCTAAAATTGCAGAAGTATCCTCAAAGTAACATTACATTTCTTCTTAAAAATTGTTTGCTTGCATAGGAGCTAGTCGTTCTAGGTTTAAACTGTTTTCTACAGATAATGACTATTAAAATATTTGTTGAATGAGTGGATTCTGTTATTTATTTTATCTCCTTCAAAGAATAACTGAGACCTTTGTGAATCTTTTATCTGGATACGTTATTTCCCACCCATCCAAAATCTTCTCTTCCTGTATTTAACTATCATCCATCTAATAATCCGAAAGAGAAACCTGGACTTTATCCTGGTATCCACCCTGCCCTCCTTATATTCATTCAATTTCCAACACTTGCTGACCTTGACATCCTAAATGTGTGTTGACCCTGTTCTGTCCTTCGATCCCTTCTGGCACTATGCCAGCCTCAGCCCTCACACTTGTCTCTGGGCTTTTACATTAGTATCCTAAGGGTTTCCTCTGCCACCAGTAGTGTCGTCTTCTGAATTATTCTTCAGAGTGATATATTTAAAATCCAAATATGATCAGTTAATTTCCTTTCAGTGGCTCTCCATCATCCATAGTAAAAATAAAAACAAACAAAAAAGGAATCTCCTGGCATAAAATCTAAGGGCTCCTGTGATTTGGCTTAAATGAACCTCTCAGGTGCATCTTCTACCTGATGCTCACTGCCTAGCACTTCCTACTGCGACAGGCCTTTCATCTGGAGTACCACAGACATTTTGGGCTGGATAATTCTTTTTTGGGGATGGGGGGGGTTGTCCTGTGCCCTTGTAAGATGTTTAGCAACGTCCCTCACCCACTAGATGCCAGTGGACTCCTTCTCTCATATGACAACCAACAATAACTCCAGACATTGCTAAATGTCCCCTGGTGGGCAAAATTGTCCCTGTTTGGTAAATAGGAGTTGGGTGGTGAATCACAAACTGTACACACTCCAGGCTATGTAGCACCTCAACTCCTTTACTTTTGTTGAGTTTTAGTTCCTGGAAAGCCTTTCTTCTTCTGTGCCTGATGTAGGAAAAGAGTCTGTCCTCCTGTCCTCGCCCTTCTTTGTCTTCTCTGAAGAGGAGGGACTAGTGATCTGATTGGTTAAATGCTAGGACACTGATTGGACCACGAATGAGATCATTTCTTTGAAAGGACCACATATGAGAATAACCCACTCTTCAATGAAAACAAAAACAAAAAACAATCAATGCATGAATCCATGCTTATAAAAAGTCTAATAATACAGAACATAGAGTTAAAAGGGAAAGCTTTCCAGGATCAAAGCATTCTAATTAAAAGACATTTTGTTTTGATAAATATTGCTCCAACATTATCACACCAGACATCCTTTCCCTCGTGGCCACAGCCTTTGGGGTTCCAGGAATGTGTAGATAGAAGCTGGGTTCGCTCACCAAATGGCAGGAAACTCTTCGCTTCAGAATTTGTGCTAGGATTATGGAAACAGGTATTCATTCGCATTCCAGGCCTACCGAGCTCAAAGAAAACAAAAAAATCAGCAAAACTTCCAGAGGCCATGTGTTCCATCCCTTCTCCAAATCTATACCATTCTTTTCCCTTCTATTTGCATAAAAACCCACAAACCATAAGAATAATCAGAGCTATTGTTAAGAAAGAGAGACTTTGACATTTTGTGATGCATGATGCTACAAACATCGGCCCATAGACCAGCCTCAGAGATTCTGCTTCACAAGATCAAGGGTGAGTCTTGGGATCTATATTTTCACCATTTCCCTCCTCTCCCAAGATGAATCTGAGGTGCAGGCTGGTGTGCGTGCCAGTGACTAAAGAGCTACCAGTGAAAATGCAGAACGATGCATCCAGGTTCCCAGCATCTGACAGCTGAGTTTGCCGCTTCATATTCATGTGGATTCAGCATGTAGTATCCACACTTAAAAAATTTCACAGCAGATGGAAGAAAAGATGTCTCTCTGTGCCTATGTCCTAAATACTAAGCAGGCCTTAAAAACAAACTAGGTAAAGAGGAAATACCTGCAAGTGCTCTTTCTTAAGATAACAAAAACATGCCTGATGTTGGGGAAATGTAGCTATTTTCATAAAGGTTTCCAGCTATGGGAACAAAGAGCAAAAGAAACCCTTTCCATGTTTAATTCTAGAGAACTTTTCCTTTAAACTGGGAACTTAAAATAACCGTTTTCCCTAATTCTGTGGATTATTATTCTTTTTAAATCCTTTCTCATCACTTAGGATCCCCTGGCAGGTCACTAAGAATGGTGGGGTGAAATGTTCCTAGTAGCAAAAATGAAGACGATAAAGTAAACTGGAAAAATGCACTGAACACTCTACTTGAGACAAACCTGACTACAAAATTGTATCTGTGCTAGGATTACAGCTGTAAAAATTCTGCCTGCATATGGACAGGGACTGAAAGGGAGCATGAAAAAAATGTAAACAGTTTGGTCTGTAGGATGGCAGAATTTTGGGTGGCTTTTTCTTTCTTTTATTTTGAGTTTGGTCAATGTTTTTATAATGTTTTATAATAAACAATACTATAAAAAAAAGCAGCTGAACCTGCTGACTAATTATTGTTAGAAAGAGCAGCTTAGCATCAACTCTATCAGAGCTACAACTGCTGCTTTTGGCAGATGGTCTCCAACATTTAACTTGATAACATCAGGTAACCTTAACCAATGAGTCAACTCTTTCTGGTCCAGAGAAGCATTTTTTTTTTTTTTTTTTACCAGCTAAGTCATTCTGGCAGGCATACCAGGTATTAGTTCAACTGGGGCCATAAAGAGGGTGGGTATTGTTTGGTTGTTTTTATTTTATTTAAAAAAAATAGTTGAAAAGGTTGATTGGTTACACCTGCCCCAAGAAAGGTCTTGAACCCAATCATCATCTACAATACGGGTTAAGAGTGTTTGTCTAAGTGTGTGAGTGGATTCAAACTCCATTTTGAGGAAAACACTGGTATCACCTGCAGGAACCCCTGCAGCTTATCTGTGTGCAGAAATGGACTGGCAAGAATACAAGTCAGGTTCTTAAAAATTTGACAACAGAATGTCAGCTCACTTCCTGCACATCTGGTGTTTAAAGCATATGGATAATCAACATCGTAGACTATTGGCACTTCAGGCACTTGTCAGGGAATTCAATCCCGAAGTGACTTGTAACTGTGCACTTGCCTGAGGCTCACCTAAGACAGGTTATATTGGAGAGAGACAATTTAATGGACAGGCGAGCTCTCCATTCCTCTTCTTCCTCTAATCTGTGTACTTGTGGTTCGCTGTAGTATCAGGAAGCAGCATAGCTGGGCTGGATTACCTCTGCTCCTGATGAAAATGCTCTCACTGAGTTCAATACTTACTGTTATGCTTTGAGCCTTTGTGAGATTCAATATCAGAATAGTCCATGGGAACAATGTTTTTGCATTTCTTTGCAATATCTTTGCTGAGGATGTTGTGCCTTATGTTACCTAAAATCTGCTATTAGAAAAATACATGATAAATTCCCTCTGGATTTAGGACATGAGCTTTTCTTTGCTTGTAACATAGGTTAGAAACTGGGTGTTTCTCTTTGTGCCTTAGGTACCAGGAAACTCACGGTTTATCTCTAGTGCTCATCCACTGGCCGTTTCATACAGATTGGAGGAAGTGATAAACTCAGATAGCAGAGTCGGGTACAACAAGGAGGACACCATTTGGTGCCCATGTGGTTGCTGTGCTTGTTATGGCTTCTGTAAGTACAATGCTTCCAATTTTAATGATCCCATCAGAACTTTTTTCTCCAATACTTTGTTGTTTCTGAAGTGCTAGATTTTCATAAAGGAAGAAATGCATTTCATTTCCTATAAATATCAAAATTAATTACTCATTGTTATAACTATTCATAAAAATTCAAAATTAGATGAGCATGTTCTTCATAGATTTTTTTTTTGAAAGCCCTGAAGAGATTCATTTTATTATAGCATTTATAGTTCTACTATTTAAGGGAATTATGACATAAGGTTCATAATTGAATTAAGCCAATACCTTTACCTAAATCCTAAGAAGAAATTAGTTAAAATTGGTGGGTAAAACGATGATGTCGTCTTAGAAAAAAGTATAGGAAATTGAGTAGCATTGCTTTTGTAGATTTCACACCAGTGTATCTTGTTGGGAACATAATCATTCACTTGCTCATTCATTCTTTCCATCATTCATTATGTGAGTCTAATATGTTCTAGGAACTATTTTAGGTGCCGAGGATTCATTGGTAAACAGAGCAGACAGAACTCCCTGCCTTTACAGAATTTATATTTTAGTGTGTGTGTGTGTGTGTGTGTGTGTTGGGAGGGGGGAGTCAATAATAAACAAATAAGAATACATGGTATGACAACTGGTGTGCAGAAAAGTCAAGTGAGTAAGGGAGAGAGAAGGTGCAATGGATATGGGGTAGAATTTGCTATTTTAAAAAGTGTGACCAGGTGGCATGTGAGCAGAGATCAGAAGGAGAGAGCTATCTGAGTCTCTCTGGGAAGACTTTCCATGTGGAGAGAATGTTTTGTGCAAAAAGCCCAAAGCAGGTGTGTGCTTGGTTTTTGAGGAAAGCACGGAGACTGTGGCAGGAACAGTGTGGGAGCAACGTGGTGGGAGGCCAGAGAGAGAGTAGGGAGCCAGATCATGTAGGCCATTCTAAAGTGCTTTAAAAATGAGCCGGGGGAAATGGGAAGGCTTCAAGCAGAGCAGTAACATCATCTGACATGTTTTAAAAGCATCACCTGGTTGCTTTGTGGAGCATACACTGTAGTGAGGAGAGGTGGGAAAGGGGGAGCAGGAAACCTAGCTAGGTGATGTTGGACATTTGGACCAGGCCTGTCATGGTGACAGCAGGAAGAAGTGGTGAGATTCTGGATCTGTTTTGAAGGTAGAGCCACTAGGATTGTTGACTGTGAGGATAGGACTTTTGAAAGAAAGATAAGAGTTTGGTCAGAGCAAATGCTTCAAGGAATGCAAAGAATGAAGTTGCCATATACTGGCTGTGACTGGCTCATTTCACATAAACACAATGTCCTCAAGGTTCATCCATGTTGTGACACGTGTCAGCATTTTTGTCTTTTATAAGGCTGAATAATATTTCATTGCAGGTATATACTGCATTCTACTTATCCATTGTACGTCAATGAAACCACAGTGATATTTATTAAATACTGTCACTCTTACAGAAACTTACAGTAATTTGTTCTCATCATTCTTAGGCTAAAGCTCAAGTTCTTTGCTGTGGTTGCCAGGGCCCCCACCTAACACTGCAGCCTTTACCCTATTTATGTGCCCTTGGTTCTCCACTTCAGGTCGGCTACCTGACTTCCCAGGCTCTTCCACATCTGGGTCTGCGCCAGCTGTTTCTTGGCTTACAGTACCATTTTTTTTTTTTTTTTCCCAGGATAAGCCCAGCTTGTTCCTCAGGACTCAGTTCAGGACGCCACCTCCTTCAGGGAACTTTCGCCCCTTCATACAGGCGGGGTTAGGTACCCTCTTTATTGTGCTTGTGCAGTCCCCCGGCCTTCTCTTTACTAATGTACTTGTCACACATGCAGCAGAGACCCTGTTGTTATTATTTTTAATTTAAAATATATATTTTTTTATTGATTTTTTTTTTAGAGAGAGAGAGAGGGAGGGAGAGAGAGATAGAAACATCAATCGGCTGCCTCCTGCCCACCCCCACTGGGAATCGAGCCTGAAACCCGGCATGTGTCCTGACTGGGAATCAAGCCAGGACCTCTCAGTCCATGGGACGATGCTCGATCTACTGAGCCACACCAGCCGGCCCAAAGACAGTGTTTTAATTACCCGTTCATTCCTGGAGGCTAATACATTTATCCTCACCAGAGGACATTTTTCCATTTTTTGTTCAGATAGAGTGGGAGGGAGAGAGAGGAAGAGAGAGAGAGAAAAACATCGCCGTGAAAGGGACACATCGAGTGGCTGCCACCCGCACGACCAACCAGGGCCGGGGACAAACTGCAACCGAGGTACATGCCCTTAGCGGGAACCGAACCCGGGTCTCTCCGCACTGCAGGCCGACACTCTAACCGCTGAGCCAAACCGGCCAGGGCTCTAGTATATTTTTAGTGTTCTATACATTTCTGTTGAACAAATGGATAAAGGAGTGGGCAAAGATCTGGGGTCATGGAGCATGTGGGCATCGAGGAAGTGGCCTGCGTGTGTGATGACCTCAAGGCCACCAAACGTGAAGGGACGATCCCATGCAACCCGCCGAACCATGAATGAGGCATTTGGTGCGCACAGTGGGACTCATGACACGCTGGGATCCATATTCCCCAGCCCTCCTCTGTTAAACCTGTTGGGTGTTTTGGTACTTTTAGCTTAGTTTTACTCTTTTGGTAAGTGATGCTTACACCCTTCCTGCCTCTATTCTCTACCAATTCTTCTCACTCTCCTCCCCCTACTCTAAACTTGGAAATAAATTCAGAGGTTTAGGTCACTTAAACAAAAATGAGACTTTATTCTGTGAAGTGTTTCATTTGCAAAAGGATCAATGGGCGATCTTGGATCAAATAACTGTGTTTTCTTTAGCCATTTAAAATGGTCTATTTTCATTTTTTAAGCCATTGCCTTGTGAAAGGACCTAAGAATATCCCCAACTTAGTGTTAGATCCCGTAATTACATTTTCCCATTTTGAAAGCAGTTATGCAGTCCTTACAATAGAGTCAGCACAGCTAAAAATAAACCTCAGGCAGTTCATATTAACTGGGTAATAATAACAGGCAACAAGGAGGCTCGGTGTCCAAATATGATGAAAACAGGAAGTTCATTACACAAGCTGTTCTTTCCTGATAGATCTGAATTCTTAAAGCCTTAACTCAAAAATAATCCCTTCAGGTTATAAATAAAAGCAGCAAATTGTCTCTTACTTGTGTCTTAATGGGGACGATAACATTGTAGCTAAATAAATCCACATAGTTATGATAGAAACTAGCACCAGAACGTCTGTGCCCGTAGAGGAAAAAGTGAGTTTGGAGACCCCTCTACTCCCAGACGGGCAGCAGGATGCATTTGCCCTGGTTTACTCTTTTCTTCTCCTGGGCACAAGTTGCCAAGGAGACATTACTTTACTTGGGTACAATGGTAGGAAAGCAGAAAGCCTTCAGGTGTGGAAAGGACTTTTATTTTTCCTGGGGGAGAAAATGGATGACCAGAACAACCCCAACTACAATTGTCTGCCAAGTATTGTAGATTTCAGTCCTGGATTTTTAGGGTGAACTGGGAATGAGGCCCAAAGGAAGAGGTTAAGACCCCTTTCTTATACAGCTCCTTTTCTCTAGTGAGTGTCACTGATTGTAAAAATTCAGATTTTCTTGATTAAAATAAGATGATCATGAAGAAGCATTTTAATTTATGTAACTAGAATAAACCCCATCAGCTCCCTTCCCCAAACCAAATCCTAGCCCTCCAGGTGTCACTGGGCGTTGTGAGGGGTCATGTGACCTTGCCATTCACCTCCTCTTTGGGAATATCTCATTAGTTGTTACCACAGCCACCAGTAGGGTCGCCCTGGCCCAGGCATCAATCACATCTCTCTTTAATTTCCTGTAATACAGTGGAGGCCCAGCTGGGAGGCCTAATCAAGACTTGACTACAGGGTTGGGGTGGGGAAGAGAAAGGGGAGGACAAAGAGGTGTCCATCAGAGAGAATGACAAGTGGACACTGATCTGGCAATTTTCTCTCCCAGGTTGGGTTGGTAGCATCTGCAGAGTTTGCCTTGAACAAAAGAGCACACTTGGGGGGATTTGGGGACATTCAGAATGTGTGCCCATTTTCAGGTTGGGCATACTCCAGGAGAGTGATCTTTGTTTTTTTTTTTTCATACACAACAAATCTAGGAATATATCCCAGGAAGGGAGTTCTTGCCACTTTTGAAGTGATAATGTATAGGGCCAGTCGCAGTGGGTCTTGGGGGGGCCACATTGCCAAGGACTCACATTTAAGAACAGCTTCAAATGTGGACTTTTGATGTAATTTCCCAATGACACTGACATACACTAATCTAACTGGGGGTGGGGGGTGGGGGGACATCGCACAAGACTTTAAACTTGTGTTCCATCTATGACCAGATCACATTAGCTGTTGGGTACTATCAATTTTATATTTTGTAAACCTGTAACTAGCATAATTATAATGTACTATATGTATTTATTGAGTGTAAACATTTAGGATATATCACAATTTTTTGTAATCCTGTTTTGGCACTTGTTTATTTTCTAAAATACTGCCATTCTCAGAAATTGGAAATGGTCTGGCGTGTCAGAGCCCTGGCCGTAGACTTCTGCCCTTGGCGTGCCCGGAGAGTGGGGGCTTCTGTAGAAGGAGTGCGCGGTTGCTCTGGAGGGTTCACAGAGATAGTCCCTCGTGGCGGAGGGATGCAGGGATTCCTAAACTTACATGTGCAGCAAAATCTCCTAGGTAGCTCGTGAGAAACGACACACAATGCACTGAGAGTTTCTGGCCCAGACCCAAGGTCTTGGCTCAGGGGGTCTGGGACTACTCTTTGAAAAGCTCTGCAGCAGATTATAGAGGGAGCTGTTGGGGCAAGGTCAAATAATAGAAGTCCCCTTTGGGAAATAAGTAATGATTTCCTCTGGGAATATGAAGACTGTCATAGAAAGAGGTTTCCCCATTAGGATCCAAAAAGAAACAGGACAAGGGACCTGGCCGTTGAGAGAGCAGAGGGTAGGCA